AATGATTAGCTTCTGTATTCTGCTTGCTTGCCTAGCAACATGATCAGTATAAAAAGAGCCAGAGTGCTTAGTCTTGGTGCTGCACTTGGACCTTCTAGGAAAGAGTGTAGCCTGGCCGTTTAGCCCGGCCGTAATAAATCTTTCTCCAGACTCACCTGTTTGGGGTATTTGTGGATCCCAGACTATAACATTCTGAATGCTCACTGTATGTGTCATAGTTAGCTTTAGTTGTCAACTTGACACACCTGGGAAGAGGGGCCCTCAATTTGAAGAATCGCCTCCATCAGGATGGCATGTCTGTGGGGGCATTTTCTTGATTGCTGATTAATCCAGGATGGCTTAGTCCACTGTGGGCAGTACCATCACTGGGCAGATAGGCCTGAGCTATATGAGAAGAGTAACTGAAGGTGAGCCTTGAAGCAAGCCAGTAAACAGTATTCCTTTAGGGTCCCTGATTCAGTTCCTACCTCCAGGTTCCTGCCTTCCATTCCTCCCTTGGTTTCTTGGTGGGATCAAAAAAAAAAACACATTTTCCTTAGCCTGGAGGAGAGTTCAGAGCCTATTTCTTTTGTTTGTTGTTTTTTTTTGACAGGGTCTATGTAACCCTAGCTGGCCTGGGACTATGTAGACCATGCTGGCTTGGAACTTGGAGAGCCTCCTGATTCTGCCTCCTGAGTGTTGGGATTAAAGGAATGTGCCACTACATCTGGCTCTCTGATGCTATTTGTTGTCTGAGGTGAGTCTCCTAGTATGGGGGAACCAAACTGGGGTCTTCTAGAAAACATTAAGAATTTAAAAAAATATTTATTTTTATGTGTATGAGTGTATTGCTTGCGTGTGAGTGCACCCGTGTTGTGCAATGCTGCGGAGGTCAGAAGAGGGCTTTGGATTCCCCTGGAACTGGAGTTAGGGATGGTTTGTAGCCACCATGTGGGTGCTGGGAATCGAACCTGGGTCCTTTGCAAGAGCAGTTAGTGCTTTTAACTGCTGGGCCATCTCTCCAGCCTGACATTAAGAACTTTTAACTGCTGAGCCATCTCTCTAGGCCCCACCTTCTCAAATGTTATTTTCTCTTTTCTGACTCTATAGAAACTCCCCATGGTTTTCACCTGAAACACATCGATCCTGTTTTGGAATCAAGATGTCATATTGCACTATTATTGATTTTTCCAACTTAAGTCCTCCAATAGCACTGTTACGGCTTCCTTTCAGAAAGTACTCATGGTACTTGGCTTGCCTTTAATTTTTTTTTTTTTTCCAAATCTTGAGACAGGGTCTCCCTGTAGTCCCAGCTGATCTGAACTCACTATGCAGACCAGGCTGGCCTTGAACTCACAGAGATCCACCTGCCTCTGCCTCCCACGTGCTGGGATCAAAGGTGTGTACCACCACGCCCAGCTGCCTTTAAACTTTTTTAAAAATTATATTTGTGTACATACTTGTGTATGTGTGTGGGCATGTGTGGAGATCAGAGGACAACTTGCAGGAGTTCTCTCCTACTAACATGTAGGCCCTGGGGATAGAAGTAAGGTCATCAGGCTTGGCAGTAGGTACCTTTACCCACTGAGTCTGTCTTGGCTTGCCCTTTTCTTCCATTCAAATGGTGGTTTTTTTTTTTTTTTTCTTTTTGAGACAGGGTCTCCCTGTAGCCCCAGTGGACCTGAAATCACTATATACACCAGGTTGGCCTTGAACTCACAGAGATCTACCTGCCTCTGCCTCCTGAGTGCTGGGACTAAAGGTGTGTGCTACCATGCCTGGCTGGTGTTTATTTTTTAATGAGTGTTTTGCATACATGTAAGTGTACCATCTCTGTGCAATGTCTGTGGAAGTCAGAAGTGGGTGCTGGATCACTTGGAATCAGGGTTACAAATGGTTGTAGGCTACCATGTAGGTGCTGGGAACCTTCTCTGTAGGAGCAGCCAGTGCTTTTTAACAGCTGAGTCATCTTAGTCCCATTGCCTTATTTTTTTAAAAAAACTATTTTTATGTTATGTTTATGAGTAATTTTGCCTTTGTATAAGTGTACCCATGTCATACAAGGCCCAAAGAGGCCAAAATAAGGCATCAGATCCCTTGGAACAGTGGTTACAGATGGTTTTAAGTCATCATGTGGGTGTGCTGGGAACTGAACCTGGGTCCTCTTCAACAGCTGAGTCATCTTGCCAGTACCACCCCCTTCTTTGGTTAAGAGCACTGGCTGCTCTTTCAGACCTGGGTTCAATTCCAGGCACCCACATGGTGGCTAATAACTGTCAGTAACTCTAGTTCAAGGGGAATCTCATGTCCTCTGTTGACCTCCAAGAGCATTGTGCAACACAGGTGCACTCACATGCATGCAGGCAATACACTCATACACATAAAATAAAAATAATAAATTAAAAAAAAATATAAAACTGAACACTTGGTCTCCAGTTGCTGGTGCCATTTCAGGAGGTCATGGAATGTTTAGGTGTAGCCTTGCTGGAAGAAGTGTATCACTGGGGGTAGGCTTTGAGAGCTCATTCTCTTTGCTTCCTGTTTGTAGCTGAAGGTGTGATCTCTGTTTCCTGCTTGTCCATTTCTAAAGGTCACTGAACATTTGCAAAATGTATACACAGGGACAGACACACACACACACACACACAAATGGTTTTCAACTCAAGAACTATCCTGCCAGAGCCTCTGGAGTAGCCAAGGCTACAGACTATAGTCTCTCTTTTAATATTTCATTTATTATATATATATGTTGCCAGTCTGATCGATATATATATTTTTTTTTTTTTTGGTCTTTTTGAGACAAGGGGATCTTAACCGCTGAGTAATTGCTCCAACCCCTAGTTTCTAAAAATTTAAAGGTATCTGGAGGCTGGAGAGATGGCTTAGGGGGTTAAGAGCACTGGCTGCCTTTGCAGAAGACCGGGGTTCAGTTCCTAGGACCCATGATGGCTAACAATTAAAACACTCATACACATAAAACAGAGACAGGTCCTTCTGTGCCTTTGCCGCTGCAGCCACAGGAGGTGTCCATGGAACACTATTCTCAATCCAGTGAGTGGGCAGCCAAGTACTGTTCTCTACTTGAAAATCCCTGCTACTCTCATCTGCTTTGCAAGGTGTGCTCCCAGGGTCTCAGGACATCTGGAAACACAACACTTAGTCTTTGTCCTTCAGGTTCCTTCCCACAATGCTCTGCTCAGCCTGCCTTTTATACCCTCTGGTCTTCCTGGAGAGGCTGCTGCCTCCTGGTTTTGTGCTTGTTTGTATCCTGGGAAAGATTTTTCAGATCCTGACTCAAGTCTCTAAGCATAGTGCTTAGTACCAGCTATTTGCCTGTAGCATGATTGTGCTGTTTTTCTGTGTTAAGCTAATGGATCAATGGACTTGTTTACAGTATATTTTCTATTAATTCCAATATTTTCAAAAAATACACACACACACACACACACACACACACACACACACACACACACACACACACACACAAACCCTTACAGGTATCAGTTGGGTGTGGTAGTGCAAGCCTTTAATCCAAGCACTAAGGAGGCAGAGGCAGACAGATCTCTGTGAGATTGAGGCTAGCTTGGTCTTCATAGCAAGTTTGAAGCCAGCTGGGGTTACAGAGAGACCCTGTCTCAAAACCCCACAAACCAAACCAAAAAGACAATCAACAGGGTTTGGAAGCGATTTTGCAGTTTCTTATTACTACTCTTTCCCTTTAGCAGGGCTCCTTAATTTGACAAGGTTACAAAGTCAGCTTCAACTTCTGATCATGGGCATACAATATCTATAATTGAGATACCCAGATTTCAGGGAATATTGGTATTCACTGGGAAGGAGAGGGACTTTGCAAATGTTCTAGAGTGAGTGCACACCTACCTCAGAGGCCAGTGATAGTTTCACAGTAAACTCTTAAGTCTGGGCTGGGAGAAAACCAGGTTACAATAAAGCCGGAGGCACTACATCCTCATGTAGTGAACCTCTACTTGGCTGACCAGTGTAGAAAAATGTAATGTATGAGCTTAACTGGTTATTTGGACACAAAATATAAACTAAAAACAAATTGTTTAACTGAACATTATGTTCCACTTTTTAGTTGTGCTATTATAAACCTTTAAAAAATTTTAAATTATGTGTATGAGTGCTTTTCCTGCACGTATGTAAACGTCCCGTGTCATATACTACACTTATTGTGGAGGTCAGAAGAGGGCATCAGATCCCCCATGGAGTTCATAACTCCATCAGAACTGGAGTTATGGTCAGTTGTTAGTTGCATGTGAACCCAACCCAAGTCCTCTGCAGGAGCAGCCAGTGCTCTTAACTGCTGAGCCATCTCTCTAGCCCCTATGAAGATTTGAAAAAAAAAAAAATTATTACCATGTGTATATGTGCGTGTACACACATGTGGAGGTCAGAGGTCAACTTTGTGCAGTTTTCTCTTTCCACCTTTACATGGGTTCTAGGGATCAAACTCAGGTTGGCAGGCTCACGAATCAAGTGCTTTTACCTGTTGAGCCACCTCACTGGCCCTAGGGCTGGAAAGATGGCTCAGCAATTAAGAGCACTGACTGTTCTTGCAGAGGACCCAGGTTCGATTCCCAGCACCCATATAGCGGCTAAGAACTGTCCTTAACTCCAGTTCCAGGGGAAACTAAAGCCCTTTTCTGACCTCCGTGGCATTGCACAGCACGGTGCACTCACATACATGCAGGCAATACATGCACACACATAAAATAAAAATAATAAAATATTAAAAAAAAGATGTTTTTAATTAAAAAAAGATGAATTTTGGCCTGGAAGGATGGCTCAATGGTTAAAAACATTTGCTGCTCTTCCAGAGGACCCAAGTTCAATTTTCAGCACCCATATTGGGGGGCTCACAACTGCCAGCAACACCAGCTCTAGTGGATCTGATGCCTTTCTCTGAACTCCTCAGGCACCTGTACTTGGGTGTGCATACCCCTCTCCCCCAAATATACACATAATTAAAAATAAATCTTTAAAAGAAGACCAAGTAGACCTACATTTGTAAACATTTATTCTCTTGAACTGAAAAAGGCTTGCATCAGCACATTGTACAGCCTTGCAAAATTACACAGAAATTGAAAATAAGGTTCCTTGTTCATAAGTGCAATGAATTTTTGGTGTCCAGTAATCCACTGCAAACAATGAAAACAAAATTTAAACCACTTAAAAAGTTTCCAGCACTCATCAAATGCATTTCCTCAAGAGACAAAACATCAAGAGGGGGAATGCAGATGAGTGGAATTTAGCTATCTGAAGGACACTTTAAAAAAAAAAGTGGAAGGATTTTCCTGCCTAGGATGATTCCTATCTCCTTTGAATCTAAGTGGTTTGATTAAGAGGCATTGAGAACATAATTTAGTTTACACTTAATGGCCATACTACCTAAATGAAGAAGGAAGGACCCGTGGGGGAATTATGGATGTCCTGGAAAACTTATTCTGTGTTTAGTGATTTAGGGGAGGAGTAATATTTTATTTGTGGGTTCTCTTTAGCACCCTCAGCCCCCCAAAAGATAGTTTTGACATGGTTTCGACTTGGCTATTCCATTCCTGTATTCTTTTTCCCCTAAAGTCTAAGTTGGTTCATACTGTGCTGGCCAAAAAAAGAAATACAGGTTGCAACTGGTTATAATCACTTTGAAGAATAATTTGCTATACAATAGAGCTTTGGATCTGATACAAGAATTCAGAAATATAAAACAAAATAACTATAAAAGTTAGGAGGCATCTGAACAGCATTTCCTTAGAAAAAGCTGCTAACTCTGTATCATTCCTGTTTGGATTCCTATAGTCATTGGGAAATGGATATCTTCCCCCCTCCCTTTGCTGGGTCCCTGGCCTTCCTCCAAAAGCTGTAACACGTGGTCACACATCCCAGGAGTCTCTATACTGTTAACATAAGCTCCACATACCAAGCCAATCAGATGGGAGAGGGCAGGGGAATCATAGAGTGAGAGGTCCCAAGCTGGCTGTTACTGAGAACTTGCCCTTTCCAAAACATGGAAGTCGTAGTGCTTCTTGCTTGTTCTCAGTTTAAACTTGTTCACCGAGTGAATCTGCTTCTTCAGTGCACTCTGTGCAGCTGAAATAGAGGGGAACGTGGCTAAGACTGTGTATGTTGAGGCCAAGTCACTGGGTTTAGAGCGCTCGGGGTTGACCGTGCTGTCCCCACTGCCACAACAAAGAGGGTGACGACGCAGCTGGGGCTGGGACTGAGGGTCCCGAAGCCATCGGATCTTGGCGCCAATTTTAAAGAGTTCCCCGAAAAGCTTCTCTGCTTCCATGCGAGTTATTCCATCTGGTAGTTCTGTGATTTCCAAGACCTTGCCAACAACTAGAATGGGAAAAGGAGAGAGTTACTGCCTGCTTATCATCAGAGAAGTTGGGTCACTGCTGCCCCAGATAACACAGGAAACAATGTTTCTGCCATCACTTAAAGCCAGAAAGTTCCCTTGACTTTTTAAAATCATTCCTACTTACCCCTTAGGTAAGAGGTGTAGAGCTAACAGTGCTAAGCTACTATTTCAGTCTTTACTAATAAGATGTAGCACTCAACAGTGGTTTCCCTAGGCAAGATTCTTGGGCAAATTTCTTCTGAGCTTCTCCCAATGTAAATTACAGATGACAATACCTACCCTCACCACCCAAGGCTACTGAGCAGACTTAAAGCATAAAGGTGAAATCTCTTGGCTATAGAAAAAAACCTCTGTCCTTCATTCTGTCTCCCTCGAGTGTGAGGATGAGCCCTTTCTCTACCCACTCCTCTTAGACACATCTTTTCCCCATGGTCTCCTTTATTCCTCCTAAACCCACCTGCCAAAGCCTTACCTAATGCACAGTCTCACATATCTAAGAAACTGAAAAGTTTCCAGGTATCTTTTTGTAGAACCCTAGGCAGAGAACCCATTTTTGTGGTATGGTGGGGTGAATTTGCAGACCTACATCTACAGACACACCTGCTTCTCCTGCTCCAAGGTCCGTGGATGCAGCCTTCTTAGCTTGTCTCCTTCCTCGGTTTCCATGCCTACTGCCAGACTGACCCTGGTAAGTCACAAAATTAAGGAACAGTCACAAATTAAGTTTAATAATGCTGAAAAAGTGTGCAATACATAAAAACTGGGTACCTAAACATACTTAATTTGGATCTTGTACTTCAGCTCTGTAGCAATGGTCCCTTGTTAGGACCTCCCTATGCTGTCTTTCATAAGCAAGAGTGCTGTAACCCTGAGCCACTCCCATCTTCTGGTGTCACTAGTGAACTACTGCTCAGCCAAGTAGCTGCCACTCGGTCCCTAGCTCTGTTCTTTGTGGGGCCAGTGCTAACAAGCATCAGCAGCTGGCCAAGGCATACCGTGCTCCTGTGCCACTGCCAATGACATTCTTAGAAATAGTATTGTGTTCTGTAACAAAGCCTGTGGGGTTGGAGCTGCCTGCCATACCTGTTGGTGTGGTATGTGTCCATGAAGAAGAGTAGGAGGGTTGTACTGCAGGGGCTGGCCAAGCAATGGATACCTTGCATCTCCTGAAAGTAATTAAAGACATTTTTATGTTTTCTTCTTTGGTTGTAATATACTTACCAGAGTTTGCTGTACTGTCCAAAAAGAAGGTAAACACAGGAAACATGTTTGGTGGAAAACAAGCATTGATAATTAATGTATTTTAAAAAGTCATCATGCCGGGCATGGTGGCGCACACCTTTAATCCCAGCACTCAGGAGGCAGAGACAGGCGGATCTCTGTGAGTTCAAGGCCAGCCTGGTCTACATAGCGAGTTCCAGGGCAGCTGGGGCTACATGGTAAACTTTTGAAAGGAGGACTATTGACAGTGTGAAAGAGGTGAGTGGCAAGAACAGGACAGATATGGAATGGGATGGAGAGAAACTTCTCTGTAGACCTCAAAACTATTCATTTACTTAATAGTATTTTTTATTTTTATTATGCGTATATGTTTGTGCCTGTGTATATGTGTACATGAGTGTAGGTGCCCATGGAGCCAAGAGGATGTTGGAGCCCCTGAAACTGGAATTACAGGCAGTTGTGAGCCGCCTGATGTAGGTTCTGGTAATCAAACTTGGGACCTCTACAAGAGCAGTATGTGTTCTTAACCGCTGAACCATCTTTCCATTTAGAATCACATCAAAGCACTATCTATTAAAACAACAAATTTTACAAAGTAATATATTAAGCTCTGTAACTCCCCAAATTCACTATTAATCACCCACAGATATTTTTATACTTTAAACAACAGATGCATTCACATTCTAGGTCTTGAGTCTACTCCATTTCTCTTTTAATGAAATCTGATTTTGTAATGTGTATTTACCTAGACAGAATGACAGTCACCATACAAGTAAGAGCTGAAGAAATAAATGCTGCCAAATGTAGAAACTGTCCTGGAAATACTTTCATTTGTGTTAAACTCTCATTTTAACAGAAAGTCTCCAAATTCAGCACACTGTATTTGGAGGAGGGTTATCAGCAAATGCTAAGAAAGCATCTTCAAAACAATATAGAGAAACGGTGTGGATCTATTGCCACCCATGGGGCTCCTTTCTGATGAACTGGGTCAAGGTACCTTGGCAGCTCCCTGGCAGGACATACCTGTCACACCCTGTAAGGGCTAGCTACAGGGTAGATCAGACCTACGGGTCTAGCAAGGAGATTAGAGACACAAAATGAAGTGTGAAGATACACAAAAATAGCTGTAGAGGCTAGAAAGCTGGCTTAGCAGTTAAAATCACTGGCTGCTACTGAAGAGGACCTGGGTTCGATTACCAGCATCCACATGGCAACTAACCATTGTAACTCCAGTTCTAGGGTATCTGACACCCTCTTTGGGCCTCCACCTCATGGAGACTATGCTAGGCTACCCTGCCCTGCCCAGAGGTCTCAAACTCAAATTTATTTTTATGTTTATGAGTGTTTTTCTAGCATGTATGTAGGTGTGAACCCCAGTGCAATAGCAGCCAGTGCTCCTAACTGCTGAACCATCTCTCCAGCCCACTGTGTATATATTTTATAATTCTTTTAAAAACTGAGAGAGAACTAGCATACAATAAAATGGGCATTTTAAGAATTATGTTTGATAAATTCAGACAGTCCTGTCTATGTAACCTGACTACAAAAAGAGAAAAGGATGTCTGCATTCTCCAGTGGTATCCCTCCAGTTCTTTCCCAGTTACGTCTGCATCTCATCTCTACCACTTTCTGGTTTCTAATTTATAATTTTTTGGTAGGCAAATTTTGTAGGTAGCTAAATTATTTTTAAGATGGAAGTCTCACTTATGTACCCCAGTCTGGCCTCAAACTTGTGACCCTTTCAAGAGCTGGGATTACAGGCCCGCAACAACACATTTGGCTTTACTACTCAGCTGTTTAACATGCTACATTCTAGGCAATAGAAATCTGAGTTATGTCTAGTGTACGTTATTATAAAATCAAGTTGTTATGAATGTTCATGTACAAGTCTGTGGGCACTGTTCATTTCCCTCTCAGCTAGGTGTGGAATAGCTGGGCTGTGTGGCAAGAGATGAACTGTAGGACACTATACCTACTTTCCTCAAAATGCCTTTTTTCTTTTACATTCCCACCACAAACATGAAATACTTGTTTCTGTGTCTTCAACAACATTTGGTGTTGTCAGTCTTTTTTAGTTATAGTCATTCTACTGGGTATGAAGTGACCACTCGGAGTAAATTTTTATTTTTTAAATTTCAAGGGCTCAATGGATAGTTTCTTTTTTGAGGGACCAGTTTCATGAACACTTACCCTGCCCAGGGACAAAAGGCCTAGCAAACTGGGACATGATGGAAAGCGGTGGTCCTGAGGGACGGATGGTCTTCAGGGTGGACAGCTGAGCTGGTGCCGGTGACTGCACTGGTGAAATGATGGGACTGCTGAGTTGAGGGCTGTGCTGTAATCACAGGACAAGGAGAAAACAGGTCATCCTTCAGGAAGGCTGTTGGCAAATTTCCTTTGGGATAAAACTTTTTATTCAGTGAATTATAAATTTGTACTTGTTAAAAAAAAAAAAAATTTCAAACATTATGGGCTTATATAATCCCCAACTCTTACCAGAAAACACCAGAAAAAGACTGTTCTTAAATATATATGACTTAAACCTTGTTTTTACAAAAATAAGAACA